ATGTGTAGAAAAACAAGCTATGTGTATTTATTCCTGCAGAGGGAAGCAGAACCTCAAAGGCCGCCACCTGGATCAGACTTGAGAGAATTGCAAGGTAAAGGTATAGTGGAGAATGTTCTTTTTCCGGGTGGATCATCAAAATAAGTGGTCCTCCTAATTGTCAATCATCCTGGTGTTATGTTTACATAAGGCCAAACTACGTGCTGGACCCTAATTTCCACTTACTGGTGGTGAGTCTGACATAGTGGAAAAATTGCAAATATTCTTTTGAGAAGTAAGCTTGTATGAGCAATGCAAACAGCAACTTTTAAACAGAGCGTGCACAAGGAGAAATGGGCTTGTGCACGCTCTCGCACACGTTTAATAGGCATTCTCTTTTGGGGACAGGTACAGGGTTGTGCATGTGAGTACATTTTTAATTCATGTTACAATAAATCTATTCTCCAGTTACTTTACAACAGAGGTGGATCTAGATTTTTTTTTACAATGAATTCAATGAGAACAGATAAGTTTGAACAGTTTTCCATTCAAATGCTATTCAATCGTATTCAGAATCTATCTGTTGTCTATCCTCTCTTTACTTGCAGGGTTAAGGGGAAACCTTTGCTTTTCTCTGGTAGTTGATAGGAAAGAGGTGGGGTTCACCCTTGACAGGTTGCCAGTAAATCATCACACACACACAAAAAACAACCATATATGTGCATTCTCTTACCTGCTGTCATTTTGGAGAGACCAATAATTAAATGGTTTTAGACAGAGGGAGAATTTTAGAACTTCCAGAGAGAACCCACTTATGCATAGAGAGAAAATGCAGAGAGCTGGAAATTAAACCCAGGAGCCTAAAAACGACACTAATACCAATCATTGCACTAAGGAGTGTAACTCCTGTCATACAGTACACATTGCAATTAAGGTTAGCTAATCATATAATACCAAGAGGTAAAATGCTATCACGGAGTTATTTACCATGCATCAGTAATCATTTTGCACACAAAATTGGTAACAGTGGAGAAGAACAACTTTCTTTTAACTTTCAGGAGAAAACTATCTGGCGACACCTAACCTAAGTATGAGTGTCCTTCTTCCACCTGCAGATGACAACACTGGTATTAAATAAAAATATTATTTGAATAGACCCCTTTCTTTTTAGTGCACACTTTTGGCTTAATATAGGGAACTTATTGTAATATATTGTTCTAAAAGTCTTGTGAAGTATTACCACATTTGGCTTAATAGAGAACAGCAAGATTGTTAGTTATGGGTCAGATGACGTACCTTATACGGTAATGATCTCATGGGAGCACATGGAGATCAAAGGTTTGGAGCTGATTGAAATGTTTGTTTCACACCTGTTGGCAGATGCTCTTGGGAACTGTCACTTCAAAAACTTCAGCTAACCCCCTCCTTCCAAACAGATGCTTAAACACCATATTGTAGATGAATATTTGTTAATCTTATCAGCATTTTCTCCTCCTCTCCTGCGTAAAAGAAACAGAGTGAGAGAGTAATCTTATTAATAAGCCTCCAATGTCATCCTTTGCTGTTTCCCTTTCTCGCTTGCTTTTCTATTTTTAGTTTTCAAACAACTGGTCTCCTAAAAAAGGGCCTGTGCTGCTCTGGTAGGGGAAGAGAAGCTGGACTATGTATGGTATCCACCCACAGTTCATCGCAGCCCTGATCCCATTCCTCTCTGTGCTTTGTGTCCACAGGAAGGCGAGGAGGAGGAATCACCCCGGGGGGAGAGAGTTTCCAAAGAAGTTTTTTGATTTCTTCGGGCATGCTAAAAACTTCCTGCTGATCGACTTCTTTTTGCTCACTAAATCCTCCTGCAGGAACATCTTACATTTCTCCATCCCTTTCCAGGCAGTTCTCTTACTTCTCTGGGGGTGCAGTTTCATCCACTGAAACCCAGCCACATCCTGTGGGGAGTGGATGGTTAGCCGTGGACCATGGTCTCCATCTGGTTGTTTTTGCTCCCTTGCCTGAGCCTTGTGAGTGTGTCGTCGGCTGAAAAGGGGCTAGAGTTTCCTAGGTATGACGGGAAGGACCGTGTTATCGACATCAATGATAAGAATTACAAGAAGGCCCTGAAGAAGCATAGTATGCTGTGCTTGTTCTACCATGAACCAGTCGCGGACAATAAGGAGTTGCAGAAACAACACCAGATGACCGAGCTGGTGCTGGAGGTAAAGTATGAGGGTAGAGGATAAATACAGGGAAATAAAGAATAAAAAAATTACTAACTTAGATTTAAATTTTTTGCTGTGCAGAATGTTGCAGGATTGAACGACATGTGATATCTAAGGGTTAATGTTTGTGCTCCAGTAAGCTGCAAAACCAAAGGATAAGAAATAAAATCAAGCTTTGTTTTTTTTAACAATAAAGTCTATATGATGGGGACTCTATGAGGTCAGTGAGTACTGTAGGAATACCCAGTTATCCGTTAAGATAAGTTGCTGTCACTAGAGGTTATTTAAGCCTAATTCACAGTGTCTACATTCCATTGAAGTATTTAAGCTCTGTTCCTCACACGTTGTTCCCCTGTCAGCTGATACAGGCCAAGAGATCCGCAGAATTTCACAGATAAAGAGCAAAAAATGTTTTCCTTGGTTACAAAAAGCTTATAATAAACAAACTAGTTTGTTTGCTTGCAACTAAAAACTTGCTGGTTCTTAAATTGTTCTCAATGTTCCAAAACCAAATGGCTTTGCCCGTCCTTGCACAAAGCTGAAGCTGAGCTCCTCTTTGACCTGCTGGAGGTATTTTAAGCTCCTGTTAGAGGCTTTCCTGCACAGGTGGACAGATCTGCTGTTATCAGGCATTCATGGAATCTAATATAAGGAATTTGTTGAACAGCATGAGGAGCATGAATTAAATGCATGTGTTCCAACAGGTTGAGGCTAAGCCAACAAAAAGTCTAAAACAGAATAAAACAATCCTTTCTGTTCCCTCAGCACAGGGATGTCCGTTATAGCAGCTGTGAAGGTCAAGGATCGTAAGGAAATATAAAAGTTAAATAAAAATAAAATATCTACATTTAGAAATAAGTTGCTTTAAGGTCCATGACGCTAACCTGCAGCTTTTAAAAAGTCTATATTGCTATTTTGAATGTGTAATTGATTTGTTTATCTTTGTTTTTTTTAGACAAAATCTAATATCATATCCCATGTAGCATCACCTTTTTATTCATCATGACTTTGTTGGAACTGTGTGTTCTCCAGCGTTATATAGCATGAACATTGCAGCACTGAGACACAATGCATGCTGCACACATGCACCACTCATTGATAAGTCATGCTAATCTAATGATGCCAAGAAATAAGATTACTCATTCTCCTATTACACTAATGCTTTGATAGTACTTGTAAAGTTTAGCTCATTTCAGCATTGGGGAAATGCTTAGATCTGCAAAATAATTAGCATGGCTAATTATGCAGTTTTTTAACTACTGCTGCTGGCTGCTAGCTTGGATTTCTTTTTGTAATTGAATATTTATTGGGAATAAAAGCTGTCATGGAAATGCATAGAGTCACAACATGAAAAGTGCATTTGCAATGTTAAATGACCTTTAGCAACAGTGGTAAAAAAGAACCTCTGTTAGGTAGGGTGGAGGTTGGTTGAGGATGCAAATGCAGAGATGAGTGAAGCAGAGATTAGTTATTGATCAAATCAGAAAGGGCAAGAGAAAAAAACCCAAGAACTGAATACAGGAAACCAAAAACCAAGAGACATCAGGGGAAAACATACATGGGGAGGCAAGTAACAATAAGAAACCAGCAAAGAGCACTGCACATGAGGTGTATATATGGGAGACAGGAACAATGGGAGGACTAATTATCTGATGTGGAGCAGGTGAAGACAGAAGTAACTGGAAGGAGCTAAGGGGAAGAACAACAGAGGGGAACAAAGAGCAACTCAGAAAATAGAAGACTGCTTAAATACCCATGATTTAACCCATGAAAAAGAGAACGGAGAATAACATAAATCAAAATGGAACTGATAAACTTAAAACGAAACTCAAATACAAGTCCACATAGGGCACAATCATGTGCACTTAAGCACAATAATTATAAAGAATAAGAGCAGTTTTCAGTTCATTGCTTTAAATTATCATTTCTTCTAAGTAGAAGCACTTCGTTTTAGACTTCTCAAATATTGTTAATATTTAGAAAAATAATTTAACTTTGATTAACTGTTCATTATTTTGTCCTAAAATATGTCCATGTTACCCAATAATTCTAAAACATGTAATCTATCTAGCCAGGATATGATTTGGATCTTCAGCAGACCTGTTGGTATTTGGTGGGAAGTTTTTGCTCAGAACTTTGAAGCTGACCACTTGGAGAAAAGAACAAATCTATGTGTTACCTATTTGGCTTTTTTATTTTATTTTTCAGAAGGAAGGAAATTGAACTCATCAGATTTTGTAAATTATTTAACCCTTTTAAGTTTAATCTTTTACAATATTCTGTCTTGCAGGAAAGGTCAAATACAAAAAAAGCTCCTCTACTATACACAACAAATGCCTGAACAATTATATACTGTATACCCTGGCTGTAGTTATATTTAGAAGCAGGCAGACTGAGTGATTATGTTACTTTATCTCTGTGTCTCTGGGTAGCCTATGCACCTGTCATGCTGCCAAACATTGCATGTTCTTGGAGGTTTATTTGAAACTATAGTTATTTTTCTTGCATTGTAACTCCTGATTATGCTTCTTCCTTGACTTCAGCTTGTAGCTCAGGTTATGGAGGAGAAGGACATCGGGTTTGGTATGGTTGACTCGCTCAAAGATGCAAAAGTTGCAAAGAAACTAGGTTGGAACAGATACACGTCTTTGTTAATTAAAAGTATTTAACCTTCTTTTTCTAAAATTAACAGCCATCTTCCTTTAATCACAGACTTGGAGGAGGAAGGAAGCGTATATGTTTTTAAAGATGACAGAGTGATCGAGTTCGATGGTTTACTGTCTGCTAACACTCTGGTGGAGTTCTTGTTAGATGTGAGTAGATTTCTAAAGCAGATTTCCATCTCCGAGCCTTAATCAACACTCTACATAGCTACAATGACTGCCAATATTTTCTCTCCTTAGCTTTTGGAGGAGCCGGTGGAGATCATCGAAAATGCTTTGGAGCTTAAAGCCTTTGATAGAATGGAGGAGGATATTCGTATCATTGGTTACTTCAAGAGTGAAGACTCTGAGCGTGAGTGCTTCAGTTTGTAAAATGCCAGATCTTCTGCTGCCTTTACACCTGCTTTGTTTAGATGCCGGTGGAGATAAGTTTCCATGACCTTGATTAGAGCATCAGCTCCATGGATTTACAGATCCAATTTTACCTTTGCTCATCACACACCGAATGGGGAAGAATTTCTCTCAGGCATCAGAGAGCAAACACAACAACACATTATTTTACGAGGGGCGTTCAATAAGTAATGCCCCTGACATGCTTCCAGATGTTTCATCGAGCTGAAATTTAGCATGTGACGTTATTTAAATCTATATTGATTAAGTAGCAAATTACAGCTCTGAACTATTTGTGGTTTCTGACTTACAGGTGTTTGAACTGAGTAAAGTCTGAAACGGAGCCTGTTGAGTGTCGAGCAGTGATCCGGTTTTTCTATTGGAATGTACTCACACCACGGGAGACTTTTGATGAAATTAAAGTAACTTACGGTGATGATGCCCGTTATATGACCTTGCAAAATATTTTAAAAGGTTATATTATGGAACATTATCACTATAAGTTACCTTCATTTGATCAAAAGTCTGCTGTTGTGTGATTCCTTTCAAATGCAAAAACCCAGACTTGACTCAGTTTTAACACCAGTAAATCAGAAACCACATTTAGTTAAGAGCTGTAATTTGCTATTTAATCTAAAGAGATTTAAAATACTTCACATGCAAAATTTCAACTTGATCAAACATCTAGAAGTGCGCCAGGGGCATTACTTATTGAACGCCCCTCGTATTACAACAATATTACAGGAAAATAGAAACATTAGAATGAATCAATATTCAAATTCTAACTTTTTCAAAATGAACAGAAAGTACAAATATTTAAAGTATTCAATCATATAATTTAGCCTTAACAATATTAAAGAGTATAATGAGTCAACAAATAAACAATTTGTTATTGTATTATTATTATTATCTGTATAAACACCTTTTAAAGCTATATTAAAAAATGTATAGTGAAAAACATTGTAAAAGTGAAATAAAAAAATTCAAAACATAACGAGAAAAGGGATAAAAAGCTTTAAAAGTGCAAAAACAACAATAGAGTTGGCATATTTAACGGAAGAGAAAACTGTTACGCTCATGTGTCACAGTATTTTTAGATTGGAAGATAATGACTGTTTATTTTTATCACTTGCATAAAGTCTGTTACAGGAATGAATCAGTGGATCAGGGTGGATCTGAAGTGGATTAAAAGTATTTTTGCATAAAATGCTGAAATAAATTCCCCACCATTACAGAATAAAACCTATTATGGGACAGAAAGTGTATACGCTACAATTGAAATGGTTCAAAATTTCATTTTTCTAATATGGAGCCACATTAGATTTCTGAGCATATTAGGTCAAATATTACAAGTATAAAAACTGCACTAAGGTGCATTGGCACAGCACCAAACAGGCTCTGGGAATTATAGACATAAAAAAATCCATTTAGGCTGGAATATGAAATGAATGCAATTTAAAGGAACTCTAATGATGCTTATTGTGACATTTGGGTTTACTTGGTTAAATATTGTCTTTGAAGGTGAATTAAGTAAACTGGAAGTTTCCAGTTGTCCAGCAATCATTTAATTACAGCCTTTATAGAAAATGAAGCCTGACCCAAATCACCTTTCTTGAGTGGAACACAGCTTCCCATTTAAAATCAAATCATTTATATCCTAAAAAGTCAGAAAAACATTTGAGTACTTGATCCTGTTCTAAAATTGTTTCACTCATATAATGTTAAAGTGCATTACAGATGTAGCATGTAAACAATAGGTTTGTTACAGCCTCTGATTAACCTGAAAAACAGGATTTAAAACGATTTCAGTATTTGCATAGAAAGTCTATACTAAAACTAAACGACTTATTTGGAGCTTTGTTTTTCGGAAAAGCAAAAATATACCCCGTTAATACCAATGCAGCCTAAGAATAATGTTTGAGAAGAGAAATGTGAAATGTAAACAGAGGAAACTGAATCTGCTGTATACTCAGAGTGCTGCACAGGAACTTTATCCCATCTGGTGATCCATGAGAGAACCGCATGAAGGTCAAGGATGGGATGTTTCCGCTCCCTGATGCGCAAAGGACAAACTGAGTCATGATAACGGAAGAAACAACTATGATACGCATGTTTATCAACAGCACTGAGATCCACATAACTCATTCACTCCTCTGTTTTCAGATTATGAAGCATTTAAAGAAGCTGCAGAAAACTTTCAGCCATACATTAAATTCTTCGCCACATTTGAAAAATCTGTAAGTTGAAAATTAAGTAAAACATTTTGGGATCTTTTTTTTTTTATATATATGACTGATTTGTCTCTGTTGGCTCAGGTGGCCAAGGAGCTCACCCTTAAGCTGAATGAGGTGGACTTCTATGAGCCCTTCATGGAGGAGCCTGTCACCATCCCAGGAAGACCTCACTCTGAGAAAGAACTGGTGGAGTTCATTACTCAACACAGACGGTAAACTACAGACACACCTTCATTTATTTATTATTTAAAAAAACAAATAATTTTTTTTTCCATACTGTTAAAAATTATTTAATATCTGACATTCTAATTGTGTTTTCTGTGCCACTAGACCAACTCTGAGGAAGCTGCGTGCAGAAGACATGTTTGAAACTTGGGTCAGAAATCTGCAAAACATTATTATTTATCTCTTTTTTCAAAAACCGTTTTCACACTTTGGTAGTTTTCCCCCTTTTTTTTCAGGAGGATGACATTGAGGGGATACACATTGTGGCCTTTGCAGAGGAAGAAGACCCTGGTGAGGATGTAAAACATTATGAAAGAGCTGCTCAGGGTCAAAGACATGCACCTGTAGGAATATTGATGATTAAAAGCAATCAAACAAATAAAGAGAATACTTATAGAACACTGATATATACAAGGTATCAATGTAAGGGAAACTGAAAGTTTAAAGGTATAGTGGAGGAGTTTTCTCAAATTTTTCAAAAGACCTGCCCTCTCCACTTTAAAAAAAATGCACATACACAACCCTGTTCCCGCTCAGGAGAGGGAACGCCTATTAAACACGTGCCCATTTCCCCTTGTGTGTGCACAAGGGGAAATGTTTAAAAGTTGCTGTTTGCATCGCTCATACAAGCTTACTTTCCAAAAACAAGATTTGCAATTTTTCGAGTTAGCAAAATTATTTATGATTTTTTTTAATGCATTTTATTGAAATTTATGTACTGTGGTGAGGTGATTAATTTAATGTCGCTGTCAGACCATGACGATTTAGACCAGCGTATGCTGGATGTACGGAAAATCTGGCAAAAGGTCTGGCATTCATTGAATGCGTTATGGGTTTGTTTTGTATAAGTTATGAGCATGCTGAAAATGCTGAAGGACGCTGAAGGACGCTGGCACACGTCAACATATAGCAAGTACAAATTCCAGAGTGTACCCCGCCTCTCGCCGCAGACAGCTGGAAATAGGCCCCAGCACCCCTTGTGACCCCAGCAGGGATAAGCGTGACATGTTTGTTTCCAGAGATGGCAAAAGTACTCACTTTCCGTACTTGAGTAAAAGTAAAGATACTTGTGTTAAAAAATACTCTGGTAAAAGTGGAAGTACTG